TGCATCTCTGTTTTGGTATAAATTTTTTTGTGCCTTTATCATATATTTCACAAAACTTGCCATACATCTCATTCACTTCCTTGCCTAGCATCAAGTCTGTCCAATTATACTCACTAAAAAAATTTCTAAGGTCACCATAATGTCCTCTCCTGAAGTCTGGTTTTTCAACTGCTTCAACCTCCTTATTTTCTTCCAGCTTATAACGCATTGCATACTTTATTCCCAAAAAGACATGGTCACTTTTACCCAAGGGAGGAAGGTACTGAATGTCAAATATCTCTTCCTCCTTCCTGGTAAATATCAAATCTAGCATGGAGGGAACGTCCCCTTCCCTCATCCTCGTAGCTTGTTTAACATGTTGATACAAGAATGTTTCCAGGATGAGGTCTACAAATTTACAGGTCCAAAAATCTTCTGTTTTAGCTTCATATGCTTCCCAGTCTATGGATTTCAAGTTGAAGTCACCGACTATCAACAGTCGTGATCTATCGTTATCCGCTCTCGCTATAATCTCTCTCATTATTGTTATAAGACCTTCACGTTTACTATCTAGCTCCTCCTTTGACCATGTGCTGCTTGGCGGTGGACTATATGCATTTATCATCATTAGTTTATCATCCTCATAGCAGATCTCTAGTGCTATTATGTCAACTTCTTGTGGATTGGCAGTCATTATTTCCTTCACCTTTAGGTGTTCTTTTACCAGCACAGCAACGCCACCGCCTTTCCTAATTTTTCTGTCCCGTCTCCAAATTGAGTAGCCCCTTGGGAATATGACCTCATTTAAAATTACATCTTCAAGTTTTGTCTCCGTGAGTGCAACAATGTCTGGTGTCTGCAGCTGTATTACATCACTTAACTCCAGTATCTTCGATCTCACTCCATCTATGTTGGTGTATGCAATCTTCAGGAACTTGTTCCCCCTCTCCTTATTCTTCACTCCCCCTCTCTCTATTGATTTTGTTGGTTTGCCTTTATGTACCACTTTACTGGTTTGCCTACCCCTATCACTTTGTAGAAAAAAGAATTTATTTCTTCTTCATTCCTGCTCTCATTTAAATGTTTTGCCTCGGCGAGGTTCAGTTTCAGCTTCTCTCTATCTTCTTTTGAAAGATCTCGTCTTAACGACCACCCTTTCCCATCCTCATCCCTTTGCAATTTTCTAGCATTCCTTAGTACTTCTTCCATCTGTTTGGCACCGTTTAGGGTGATCCTCAAAGGTCGATCTTTCCCTTTTACGTACCTGCCTATTCTCCTGTAGTCGCACACATTCTCTCTGTTTGTAAGACCTTCCACGAGGCCAACAATTTTATCTACTACTTTAGCTTCTTCTACAGCTCTTTCTGACCTAGATGTTATCGCCTTTTCTTTGCAGCCAAAAATGATCAGGGACTTACTCCGATCAACTGTGTTTTGCACCAACTTCGGGTTAGATGCCAATTCTTTTCTCACTTCTAGCCTAATGTTTGTTTTATCTTGGTTGCTGCAGTGTTTGACTTCCTTTACTGCTTCTTCTATTTTTTCCTTCTCCTTGGCCACTTGTGCATAAGTGAGTTGCATATCTTTCTTGCACTGTTCTATTCCCTGTGTAACTTCCTCCATCTGTGCTGACAAAAGCTGTTTCTCCTGTTGAATTTCCTTGCCTAACCTATTGTAGTCATTTATGTTTAAATTTACTTTAACTTCTTCCAAAGCTATTTTTAAGAGTTTATTTTCTTCTTCCATGGCTTTGCAATTTGTTTCCAATTGATTCTTATCCTTGCGCAAGTCTTTCACTAAACCCTCAAGACATAAAACTTTGCTATTCAAATGGTCATTACTTTCTTTCAATTTACTAATTATTTCTACATGAGAGTTCACTATAGTATCTAAATTTACCAACTTGTTATGTAGACTACTAATATCAATGCTTTCTTCATTGAATCCCTCAAAATCAAGCTCTGTTTTGTTTTTCCCCTTGCCAGTGGCCATCTTGAATGTTCTTCTCTGCACTGTAAACACTAGGGCAACTTTTTCTCATCCGATTTTTCACTTCCCTTAGCACTTTCCTGTTATCTCACCTATTTTTCAAGAGCACTATACCTTTATGTTCTCTGGGACACCACTCACTACCATCAACCTGTACTACAATACTTAGGATTGTTGAAATATGCTGGAGCTCCTCTGCTGCAAGTGTTGACCCTAGGGGTGTCACCTTGTGTCTAGGGAGTAGTAAAATCCCAGAACCCAATCAAGCAGAAATCACGCAGGTTGCCCCAAGCTTCCAACATCATTCTGTTTCCCATCGCTTGCCTGTGAAGGCGTGATTTTCTATACTGCGGCCACAGCTAAAGAAATCTGCCTAATGCGATGGTAATTGTAATCTTGTTATATACTGATGTCACCTAGCGCGCATCGCTAGAGAGTCCGGTCCGCGGTAGGAGATTCCTCTTAATATTGAAGTGATAAAACAAGAGAGAAAAGAGTGTACTCATCACATGAACACCAGCAGACGCAATGAGACTGCCAAAGTGTTCATCAGTAATTACGTATTGCTAACATACGTTAGCCTATTGTTACGATAGTTATCTAGAAGGGTTAAGCAAGTATTTCCTAGTGTACTGTTGATTTGTCTGAGTGAGAACTGTAATTTCGGCCCTTTCTGTCGACTTTAATGCAGCAGTATGTGTCACATAATCATTGAAGGAGACTGCCTCTGACAATTGCTCTGTCAATACTTCAAATTTGCCAGACTTCCCCACATTATTGTGGCCAAAATATGTCACTATGATTTTTTTATTATTTTCCCATGATCAGGGAACACAAATGAACACTTTTATAAGACGATTTTTTGTATTTCTTGCACCTGACGGTGTTGAATACTATTAATAGCAGAGCAGCACAAGGGTTAAAAAAGCACGAGTAATGCCAGTTGATTAAGGAGGCGATACTGCAAACACAAACAATAACAGACTAATATAAAATCTACAGTGTATTAAAAAAATTGAAAAAATTATTTACAAACCGCTCAACTCCTACCTTGTAAAATTCAACATATTAAGTCCCTGTCAGTTTGGCTTCTGCTCCCAAAAGAGTACCAATGATGCATTCGGCTTGACTAGTACCAATTATTCTGCTTGATATAATCTACACAGCCCTTGAGAAAAATGAGTTCCCAATTGTGCTCTTCATTGACCTAAGAAAGGCCTTTGATATTGTAAACCATAACTACGTCATACTTAAATTAAACCATAATGGAATCAAAGGCCTTGCCATGAACTATATTTGATCCTATCTTGGTGACAAACACCAGTATATAGCCATCAATGATATAACCTCTCCCACTCTACCACTGACCATAGAAGTGTTACAGGGCAGCATCCTAGGACTTCTCCTATTTCTTATATACATCAATGATCTGCTTAATGTATCTAACATTCTTAAACCTATACTAATTGCTGACGATATTATTTACATCTACTCAGACCCCAACCCACACACACTAAATACTGTTGTAAATAACGAATAAATGTCCACTCATGGATGTCAACCAACAAACTCACACTAAACATAGACCTACTTATTTGGAAACAAATTTATTTATTTGGAAACAAATCATCAAATGAAATTCAGCTTCAGATAGACAATGTTAACATCTGCAATAAAAATGATGGAAAGTTCCTTGGCCTATACTTAGACAAAAGACTCAATTTCATCACCCACATATAATACAGCCAAAAAAGTCTCAAAAACAGTTGGTATACTTTATGAAATCAGATATTATAATTCAATAATAATAATAATAATAATAACAGGATTAAAATTAATTCTATATATTAATTAAATTAAAATAAAGAGAGAATAATTATGTTCCAAACTCTGCTCTTCTCTCATTATACTATGTGCTAATTTATCCCTATCTTATATATATGGTATCTGTGCATGGGGTTCAACCACTGCAAACCACCTCAAGCCCATCATCACCCAACAAAAATCTATCAGAACAGTAACGAACTCTGTTTCAGACAGCACTGAGCCCCCCTCTTTAATTCACTTAACATGCTACACACAAACTCTCTCCACACATTGTCTTATTTTATTTACATGTACAAAACCTTGTTCCTAAATGCAAATCCTGATCTGAAACTCTTCCTGAACAGATGTGATAGGACCCATAATCACCACACCAGAAATAAATATATCTTTAATATCCTCCAGAGTCACATTAAATTTGTGCAAACACACTATGCAAATAAAGTGACCTAGTCTATGGAACTTGCTCCCTAATGAATTAAAAAGCAGTCCAACCTATGCTTTATTAAAAAGTAAAACCAAAAATTACCTAATTTCATCCTCATAGTTTCCTACCTAATGCTTCAAACTCGCACTGTATCTTGTGCTACCCCATCCCTCACTATATGTGCCCAAGTCGTGCAACTTCACCATCGTGATCACTGCTATCAACTTAGATCATAGTTGTTGTATGAATATTTTATTACAATGTACGTATTAATATTCTTCAAATTACGCTACAATGAACCTGTTGATAATCCTCAAATTTTACTACAATGTACCTATTAATATTTTTCAAATTTTCTTACACTTTACCTGTTAATATTCTTTAAATTTTGCTACAAATTACCTATACTGTAGTACTTAAAATTATCTGTTAGATTAAGGACCTGACCGAAATGCTATGCGTGTTAGTGACTTTTTAAGAATGTAACAACATCAGTGCTATGTACTCTCATAAACCCAATGTACCTTTTTGTAAATACAGTATACAGTATAAATAAATAATTAAAAATAAATAAATATCTAAACAATGCATATGTTAAGATTATCTCGCCACATCCTTGTGGGCGAGATTAACCTTCCCCCTTTTTCACACATTGACTATTTTTATTTTTTTTTGTAAAATGGTGAGGCAGAACATTCACCAGTGTTTTATTTTTTGTTATTACTGTACAGTATTTGATATTCACAATTAAATGCATTAACTGTGCTATTTACACTTTCAGGTTGTACTTTATGTCAACAAAGTGGGACCCTACTTCAATCCACATGAAACTTACCACTATTACCAGCTGCCTGTTTGCCGTCCTAAAATTGTAAGTCATATAAAAATTAAATGACAAATTGTGTCTTGAACACAGTTCAGCAAAATAATTGTCTTGTGCTTAACACTTTCGCTCGGGGATGACGCAGCATTGCGTCATCCGTTTACTGGCGGTAATGCCGGGGATGACGCAGCATTGCGTCATCCACTTTAAAAATTCGCCAAAAATCAGGTTTGTATCCGATTTTTTGGGGACTGGTTTTAAAATGTGCGCCGATGTCTTCCCATTTCCTTTGTTGAGCCTCGTGGCCCTCAGGCGGCTTGGCACACGCCGTGGGCCCATTGTCTTTGCTCCACTGTTGTGACCAATGTCGTCTCCCCTCGCATCTCAAACGTGTGAACATTTCGGCTATTTTCCGTGGCTATATTTCTTACTGCGGCTTTAGAAACTATCTACGCTTACTCCACGATGGATAGTAATCATGAACAAGGCCCTTCCAGGAAGAAAATTGCGAAAGAAAGGCTTGAAAAGGGTGGGAATTGGGAGTGTAGTAGGAAGGCCTCTGAGCGCTCACTCACGGCTAACGCGTGGCCCGTCTTCAACTCGTCGGCGGTTGGAGCGTGACCAGGTGTTTTTTTTTATATGCTAATGTTCCTCTAGAGAATTTTATTACGAACCCATTGAGACCAAAATGAAAGACCTAGGACAAAAATTGAGGTGACCAGAGTGAAAATAGTGAAAACATTTTATCCCGTTTGCGCGCTCCCGGGTAACTCGTTCGCACTTTCTCTGTTTGCTGCGGGTAATTAGCCGGGCTTTTGGAGTTTATATGCATTTAGTGCTGTAGAGAATTTTATTGCGAACACAATGATACCAAATTTATTCTCGTAGAAGGAGAATTGAGGTGACAAAGTTGAAGAGAGTATACACTTTTCGGAATTAACGCGCGCTTCCGTGACACGCTGGGGCCCATATCGCCCTGTCGAGGGGTGGCGCGCGGGGTGAGCGAAAGTGCTAATTAACTGGTGCACACACAGTTTATTAAAATTATATAGTTCCTGCATTTTCCAAAGTATGTACTTATCTCTCCTAGCTCTCAAGATTATTTGAAATGGTGCCATCATGATTCTATGGCATTTATCCCAGTTATTATGTTGATACAGTATTTTAGTCATTAAAACTATTTTATTTCGATGGCATTGGCTCTAGCAATTTTTAACAATATCTTGCAAATTTTCTGGGGGGAGGGGGTGGGGGCCTTCAGCTCCCCAAAGCTATCTGGGCTGATATGAATGTATTAGACCCTGGAATCAGTCAAAGCGAATGGAGTTCTTAGGCCTATCGGGACCATGAGCCAAAACCTGGCCCCCGTCAGAGAGGCACGAGGAGCAATGGCCTATAGAAATCCCTGTGTGGTTGAAAGCATTTTATGTCTGCCATCGACCGGGTCAGGCACCCAGAAAGGTAGGTGCCACAAAAAAACCTATCTGGTAATAATATTGCTACTGAAAGCCAAACTGTTGGACAGAACTCACCCAAACGAAAACAAGCAAACGAGCATGACATTACAATCGTCACCGCACTGCTGTCTGCGCAGCTTTTCCCTCCCCGGTAGGGAGAAGGGGAAATCCAAGACCCCTGCGCCGGCTATCCACACCTTCAGTTCTGTTGCTGATGCGAGACCTGGTGGTCGTGCGACTCTGGCTCCAGATCTGTTCCTGTGCTGTGCCTTGTGGTGTGGTCCTGTCTTCTTGTGGTATGCAAGCCAGGAGTAATTTCACCTGTACTCGGACTGCATGCGCCTAGGGTTACCTTCCCTAGGTGCCCTGTAAGTACAGTAGCACCTCGACTTACGATTGCCCCGACTTACGATAATTTTGAGTTACGATATAAATTTGACCGGAAAATGCGACTCGACTTACGATAGTGTCGTCGACTTACGATATTCGTTGATACACGTTCGGGTCAACCGAGCGCGTCGCACGGGCTGACCTGCCTCAGTTTACTAGAGCCTCCCACTTAGTGACGATCAGGTTTATAAGAAATTACATTTTTTTTATGATTTTTTGCTTTTTGAACATAAAACTGATTAGTATATACGTAACATGCCATGGGTCCCAAGAAAGTCAGTGGTAAGGTTCAAGATATGAAAACACATGTGAGGATGAGCATAGAAGCAGCTGAGCAAATATCTTCGGGGAAGGAGGAGGCATTACAGAATGTCCCTTCCTCAACAATTAAGAAGTTGTGTAGAATGTGGGAAGAAATGCAAATTTTGTTGAAACAACACACCCAGAGCAAGCTTTAGTAGGCTGTTATGGGGGAGGTATGTGGTTGTACTGAGAAGGACTAATAGCTAGATTCAAGATGTATAAAAAATAGTGGGATAGATAGGCCCGGCCCCCAAGGAACATAGGTTCCTATTAATGATTCTATGTTTTAAATTACATGTCTGCTGTCTAGTAGCTAATCATCTACACAACTTCAACAGGATGAATTGATACTTCTCATACACTAACTTATTTATTAAACCCTCTAATAACCCCCATATACATTAATACAACTAGTTTCTTTACCACTCTATCTTACGTTAAACACTTTGGTCCACATAGGCAGGATGCAAGGTTTACAAATGCAAAACTAGGGTAAAGTCTACTTGGAGAAAGGCACTTGTAAGGCTTGAAGCAGTCTGGGTGGCTATGACCCACGTGGTTCACTAGTCACACTGGAGTACACTTAGTGATGCCAAAACACTGGCTTAGAATACACAATAACTATAAATACACCTAACCATGTAGCACAGTAACTATACAGAGATAGTACTTATCTTGGACATAGGTTATAGGGAGAGGAGAAAGGAGGAGGAGGAAGACAGAGCCCTACAGGGAAAGTCAAGACGCCACGGCAGCCAGCCAGAGAGAAGAGCGAGCACAGCCACCCGAGATCATTTAAGTATGCTGCTGGGACGGATATTTAGCTGATCGTACAGCAACAATCATCACAAGTTTACTCAGACATTCATTACTAGTTACTTTAATAATTCTAAAAATAGTTGATAACAAGTTCAATATTATATTTAATAATCAACAAGCCCAGAGCCTGAATGCTCTGTGAGAAACAAGATTCATCTTATGTCTGGCAAGAAAGATGGGAACAAATGTATCCCCAAGTTCTAAGGAGCCATGAATGTAAATGTTGTTATTAATTAAATATCCTTTTCACATGATCCAATCCTATCAATTAATGTATAATAATTATTTAGAGCTCAAATTGACCTCTGGTTTCCAGATAAGAACTCAGGGTCATAACATAGGCTGTTGCCTGAACCTTTTCAATGACACTGATGCATCACTACAGACACGTTAAAACAAAGGGAAAAACAAGTGTCGCTAGTCAAATTTTTAGTGATACAAAGAAGCAGTGAATCTTTTGGCTTCGGCGAATGTTCTGGTTTCTACTGGGTTGTCCCTTCCGCCGTGGTCGCGATCGATGGGTTCGGATCCCGGGAGCCTTGCGTCGGCTGCTGCATCGCCGGCTTCCTCTGCGGGTTTTTTGGGGTTCTGTGCCGTAGCGCCTCCTCGAGCCCTCACTCGATGTGTTCACGGATGCCTTGTCTCTCGGTTGGAGTTTTGTGACAAGTGCTCACCAGGCTGGCCAGGGTCGGTGGGGTCTGTCCTTCCGTTGAGCTCACAGCATGGCGGGAGTTTGCGGCAGTGTGGCATTTGCTTCAGAGGATTCGGGTTACTCGAGGAGCAACGATCCAGCTCCATTCGGACTGCTCCCCGGTGGTTCATTGCTTGAACCGTGGGGGTTCGATGCGGTCCTTGGATCTTTGGGGCTGGTCACTTCGGGTGACTTGTCTGCTGAGTTCTCGGGGTTTGTCTTTCCTGGCGGTTCATGTTCAAGGGGTGTCAAACGTCCTGGCGGACGGCCTGTCTTGCTTCATTCCCCTTTCCACGGAATGGACGGTCGACTCGTTCAGTTGGCTCTGCCGGACGTATGGGTGCCCTGAGGTTGACCTCTTTGCATCGGCGTGGTCGAGGCGTCTTCCAGTTTGTGGCGCCCTTCCCGGACTGCGAAGCCGTCGGGGTCGATGCCTTTCGGCTGGACTGGTCGAGGTGAAGTTACCTGTACCTCTTCCCACCGGTCCGGTTGTTGCCCCTGATCCTGGCTCATTTGGAGACTTGCCAGGGGAGAGTAGTTCTGTTGGCTCCTTGGTGGCCGGCCTAGCCCTGGTTTCAGGAGCTTCTTGCTCGATGTCCGAACCCGAGGGTCTTCCCGTGGCTCTGCCTCTTTCAGCAGATCGGTTCAGTCTGGTATGTGGCTGGTTCGATCTTCTCCACTCTTCGCATCTGGTCTTCTTGACGCGGGTGTATCACCAATTGTATGGTGATCAGGTGGCTTCTTTGATGGTGTCCCACCTGCGAGTTTCGTCTAGATGGCAGTATGAAATTTCCTGGCGGTCCTTTCGGTATTTTTGTCTCTACGTAGGTTGTCTTCGATTTTTGATCAGGTTTTGTCATTTCTCTTGGTTGTTTCAGGACCGTCATCTTATGCCAAATACTGTCGCCTCGTATCGTGCGGCACTGGCGGAGCCGCTGCAGCTTGCTTTCGGGGTGGATGTCACTTCTACTCCGTTCCGCAAGCTTTCTCGGTCGTTTTTCACCTCCGGCCTGCTCATGCGCTGCCTGAGATGTCCTGGTCGTTGGACCGGGTCCTCTCTTTTCTCTCTCCTCCTCGATTTGTGGTGGCCCTCTCGGTTCAGGATTGTTTTTCTAAGGCTCTTTTCTTGTTGATATTGGCCTCTGGGGGTCGGGTCGGGGAGCTTCATGCTCTCCTCTGGCAAAAGGGTTTCTGCTCTTTTGGTCCTGGTGGTTGTTTCGTTAGTTTGCAGTTTTCTCCTCCTCTTCTGGCGAAGAATGAGTCTGCTGCTTTCCAAAGGGGTCCTTTCGTTGTTGATGCTTGGTTGGTTCGGCCGGAGGTGCATCATGTTTTGTGTCCGGTTGCGGCTCTTCGCCGTTATCTGCACACCACGGCCTCCATAGCAGGGGATGAGCTTTGGGTGGACCCGGTTTCCCTTCTTCCCTGTTCCAGGGTGCGGGTCTCCTAGGTCGTCCGCAGGATTATTCGGTCCAGCCAGCCTGCGGTCTATCCCCGTGCCCATGACGTTCGTAAGTTCGCGGCTTTGGCTGCTGTTTTTGGGAATATGTCCTGGGCTGACATTCGGGCACGGGGCTTTTGGAGGTCGAACAGTGTCCTGGCCGCACAGTATCTTGGTAATGTTCTTGGCCCTTCTCGGACATGTGTAGCCTTGGGTTGCAGGTTGCAGCCAGTTGTCTCAACTTCGAGTTGAGGAGCGAGTGACGACCGCCTCCCGGGTAAGTCACTCTTCTTTTTCTTTGGTTAGGTAGCTCTGGGGAGCCAAAGGGGCTCTCCTCAGAAAACCAGCATTTGAATGTAATGAAACGCCATTTTCTGGGTAAGACCCGGAGGCTCCCCAGAATCCCTCCTTCCCTCCGGTCGGTGTTTTTTCGTGTTTTTGATAGCCTCTGAATTGGGGAGAGTTGCCGGCGCGGAGGTCTGGGACCCCTCCGTCCCCCTCCCGGGAAGACGGGAGGGTTGTACAGACAGATGCGCGGCGTTTGTGGTGACGTCATACTGGTTTCCTTGGTTTTGATTGGAGAGTTCTGTTGCTATTTCGGCTTTCGGTTTGCAATTAATTAATCAGCAGTAGTTTGTTTTGGAATTCGTACCTTTCTGGGTACCTGACCTGGTAGATGGCAGACAAAGACTGCTTCCAATTACACGGTGGTGTCTTTAGGCCATTGCTCCTCGTGCCTCTCTTGAGGGGGCCAGGTTCTGGCTCTGGTTCCCGGTAGGCCTAGAACTCCTTTGACTGACTGATGCCACTGTCTAATATATACTCATCAGCCCGGTATAACTCCGGGGAGCCTCCGGGTCTTACCCAGAAAATGGCATTTCATTACATTCTACGTTGGTTTTTTCAATAGGGGTGTAGCCGATGTACAGTTGGGCGTGCGGTAATGGGTAACCCTTTGGCAACTTCCCACGGTCTTGCGGGTGGGGCACGCCCATGTTTTGTACTTTATTTTCATATGTCTGTGTATGGAATTTTATTGCGATCACAGCAAATAGGACACTTGGATTTATTAATCAAAGTGTTAGTAACAAGACACCTGGTGATGTTCTTCAGCTACATCCTGCTCTGGTTAGGGCCCATTTAGATTATGCAGTTCAATTTTGGTTGCCGTACTATGGAATGGATATGGATTCACTTGGGCACGTCCAGCGTGGGATGACAAAGTTAATCCCTCAAATTAGATAAATGTCATATGAAGAAAGATTAACAAAGCTTAAATTGCATTCACTGGAAAGGCGAAGAGTTAGGGGTGACATGATAGAGGTTTACAATGGGTATAAATTGGACAAGTTTAGATTTAGGAAAGACTTGGGTAAATACTGATTCGGTAACAGAGTTGTTGATTTGCGGAACCAATTACCGCGAAACGTGGTGGTGGGGTCCCTCGGTTGTTTCAAATGTGGGTTGGACATGTATATGAGTGGGATTGGGTGGTTATAAGTAAGAGCTGCCTCGTATGGGCCAATAGGCCTTCTCTAGTTACCTTTATTCTTATGTTCTTATCCCTTCAAGGTTCAGGTGGGTGGGCTTGTGCTCTCTGTTTCTCTGTCTCCCTCCCTCTCTTCTTTCTCCCCTTCTCCCCTTTCCTCCCTCTCTCTTTCTCCTCTCCCCCCTTCCCCTCTCTCCCCTTCCCCTCTCCCCCCTTCCCCTCTTCCCCCTTCCCCTCTCCCCCCTTCCCCTCTTCCCCCCCTTCCCCTCTTCCCCCCCTTCCCCTCTTCCCCCCCTTCCCCTCTTCCCCCCCTTCCCCTCTTCCCCCCCTTCCCCTCTTCCCCCCCTTCCCCTCTTCCCCCCCTTCCCCTCTTCCCCCCCTTCCCCTCTTCCCCCCCTTCCCCTCTTCCCCCCTTCCCCTCTTCCCCCCCTTCCCCTCTTCCCCCCCTTCCCCTCTTCCCCCTCTTCCCCCCCTTCCCCTCTTCCCCCCCTTCCCCTCTTCCCCCCCCTTCCCCTCTCCCCCCCTTCCCCTTTCCCCCCCCCTCTCCCCCCTTCCCCTTTCCCCCCCCCTCTCCCCCCTTCCCCTTTCTTTCTCCCCACTCTCATCCTCCTCACTCTCCCTTTGTGTCTCGTGTAGGATTTGACAGCAACTTTTGAAACAGTAACTGCTATGACATTACCCACCTGTCCTGACTGTGCATGTTGCTGTCCAGGAAAGAAGTGTGTTATAAGCTATGCATTTAGAGCCTGATTTATTTTAACACTTTCGCGCTTTAGATTAGAGATAACTCGTCGCCGTTTTCTCTTACGATTCCGCATAACAGCCGAGTTTTCTCGTCCATCGAAAAAATATTTCTATAAATTCCATTTTTTAACCGAAATGGATGGGGATACTTTTGTTTTGTAGGGAATTTATTTGCGAATGTTTTGGTACCAGAATGAATATTATATCACATAAACTTCTATGAGTAAAAAAAAAAATACACAAAGTATGTTTGGGGGTGTGGCGAGTGTGTGGCAGTGGGTTCCCTTTAGCCGTTGATATATCCAACACGTGGGAAATATTTGTATGTGTTATGTATATGTCTGTGTAGGGAATTTTACTGCGATCACTGTCATACAAATTATAAAATGTTTCAAAAAGTATAAACATGACAAACATCAAACGAACGAAAACAATGCGTTCGTTTCTGCCGCGAACGCATACTGAGCGACGTGGTTCTATATTTGGCGCTTCTCTTACACATGCTTTGTACAAATGTTATACAGTTCATCTTATAGAAAATTTTATTGCGAACACATTGGTATAAAAAAGAAATACGTACATAGAAAAGTAGGGTCAGGAAACGTATAAACTTTCCAAGCATGATTTCCCCCCTGTGTTTTCGCCAGTGCGCTCGCGGCTAACTACTCTCCACTTCACACACTCTTGCGGGTGGGCAATTACCTATATTAAACATTCATATGCATATGTCCGTGTAGAGAATTTTATTGCGATTCCAATGATGCCAAAATTAGCGATGTAGGACAACTGTAGGTTTCGCAACCATTAAGAGAGTGGAAACATTTTGTTGCTGTTTGGCGCTCTCGGTGAGTGATCTGCATAGTTTTTTATTTGGTGTTGATACTCCTTATGCTTGGGCGGCATTTTATAGGTATGCTCTTATAGACAATTTCATTGCGAACACAGTGATACCAAATTTAAATACGTGCGCCTTCAATTATTGTCAGGACAGTCAAAAGAGTGTACACTTTTCGGTCTTACCGCGTAGGCGCGCGAAGTGCCGAAAGCATCTGGGGTATTGTTTTTTTTTGAGCGCCGAGAGTGCGAAAGTGTTAATTTGTATACAATATTTTGTTACTGTATGATGTGTAACACACTGAAGTTGGACAGGCAGAGTGAGCGAGTGTAGCAGTTCTTGCTCACTTTTGCTACTGTGAAGAAATGTTTATATAGTACTGTACTTTATCTAGTTGCTTTCATTATAGTATCCTATTTAAATATTGATACAATGAAATTACAAATATACAGATATTTTTATTTACCACTGCCAGTGCTGTAGAGTGTGGTGCACTTTTGGCTCCATTGACAGTGACATGCAAGTTTTATTCACAGTAGCATTTCAGTTTATTATTTATATGTTCAAAGTATTGATACACAGTGATATTTATTTTAGTAAGTGTGTTGTGGCATACAACATTTTTTAAAACCTTTACAAAATAGTTTTGGAGGACAAAATATTATACAGTACAGTATTAGATTACTTTTGAGAAGATATTACAAAATATTTAACATACAGCTGATACTCAATGCATTATATTATTTATTTAAACAATAAACCAAGTAGAAGGAAGAGTGATAATTATTAAATATTATTATTATTATAATTATAATAATAATTGTTGTTTTTAATAATTATCACTTCCTTCTACTTGGTCTTGAAGGAGGCCGGCCTCGGGTGAAAGGGGACTGTGACGATCTTTGTCTGGAACCCGTAGGTGCGGGACTGGGATGTCCACCTCCCGGGGGTCATGTGGCCCAGGCTCTGCTTCAGGAGGCTAGGGTCATTCATAACCTTGATGGGGTGGTTCTTCTCCGGCCACATCCACAGCGGTCTCCAGGGTTGGAGGTCTCTGTGCCCTTTTTCACCAACTTCGAGGTCATCCCCGGAACTCACAGTTCCTGCGACGGCGCTGGAACCAATCGTATTGGCGTATGCCTTTCCATTGGAGACTTACAGTGCTGTGGAGAGGGGGTACCTGCTGCCTGGGTAACAGCTTCTTCCCCAAATCGGCCTACCCTGGCTTTGCGCTCTGGTGAGGCCACTCCAGACCAGGCCGACACCAGAGCTCAACTCCATAGTCTCCTGAGACTGATGGAGGCCTATTACTACTACTACTACTACTACTACTACTATTAAAATCATTACACAAGTCAATATTAGCTTGTATTTTTTGTCCCCAGATTGAACATAAGAGTCTTTCACTGGGAGAAGTCTTGGATGGGGATCGCATGGCCAAGTCAGACTACCAAATCAAATTCAAAGGTAATGTTTTGCAAATTTAAGTTTCAGCTGTGTTTATAGCAAGATCTCTAATAAACAGGAATTATGTTCATAAAAGCATATATGTGATAAAGTAATTCATTGTCAAGTGAAACTTTTTATATTTTGATCACAGCAACATGAGTTATGTATTAAATATTTTGTATTTCTATCTTGTGTGTCCTGTTTCTCCCAGTTCAGTCTTTATAGGAATTTCTGGTAGGGATATCTTCTTGTTTTTACTGGTTTTCTTTTTCTAATTTGTTTTCATATACTGTATTGTGATGCAGACATGGTCTCTTATTATTGTTGGATCATGTAGCTCAATGGTGGTAAATTTCAAACTGTTTTAAAAATCTCTTGGGAAAGGAAGTGAGGGGCTTGAATGATATCTAAAAAGCATGTGTAGCTGCACCAGAATCTCGACACATATGCCCTGATGCCAGCTATAAACAATAACTTTGGAAGTTTTGCAATTCTGCATACCCTTGATATTTGCATGAATAAATTTGTAAATGTCAACCTAATCATAGATCCTGCATGTAGAAGTTTTCAGTGCATGAATGCTGTCCTAAGCCAAGCCCCTATTAATGCCTTGGCCCTGCAGGAACTAGCCAGGTTTAAATTAAGGATGACACTTGGCTGAATATGCAAGATGCCAAGAGTCAAGCACATTGTCAAGCACTATAACCACATCTTAGGGTTATCTGCCTAAGCTAGACCACGACACCTGCCAGAATGGTTACAGAAACCCCAGAAAGAATTGGACAAATGGCTAGTAATTGGGACTAGTCCCTTTTTCAGTAGTATCTGGGCTCCACACTTCTACATGTGGTTTCAAAGAGAGCTCTGGGAGAGCGACAACTGTGTAGAGACTACAGATCACTTGATGTCTACGTGATGCCAGACTATTATGTGATCTTTCATATCCAGGATTTCTCACAAACTGCTTGGAGTGACCGCATTGTCTACCCTTGCTTTTGTTTATTCATTACGACACCTTTTAGCACGTGTGTATTCTTCCATGCCCTTCAGACTATGCAACTTGGCCCCGACTTTGAAATTGTTTATGATAAGGTTGCCTGAGATTTACCTTTCTGATACTCCTTCATTAATGACCTACAGTACTTAATTTTTATTTTTTTTGTTATTTTTCAAAGAAAATACAATGTGTTTTGTTACAATTTTTGTGTGCAAATGATTCATTCTTGCAAAACCACTAACACAAGCAGCATTTTGGGCAAGTTGATGTATAGCAGAATATTGGCAGATTTCCTTCACCTGCTTCCTCCTCACATGACTGCCAACAGTGGTTCCCATTCAAAGAGAGCCTCTCAACACTTAAACTACATATCACAGTTCATAAACATCCATCATGTTATGATTCCTGTACTGTATAAACCTGCTAATCTGGACTATATGGGAAGGACCCCCAGCCGGATTAGCACGCTTTCCGGATTAACATACTTTTTCATCGCGGAAGTCCAAAAGTGAACATTTCCAACTATTTTTATACCAAACATAATTTGAATTGCCACATAATTATAAAATATTCAACTAGAAACTTCAACTTAACTTGTTGTAGTTCGTCTTCTTGATTGATGCCACACATCTTGAAGTTAAGAATTCTTGACAATTTACATAACCTATTCTAACACAACACTAAAATTAACACTTAAAATTACTGTACAATTCATGAGGCAAAGTTAGTTTTGACTGGCAGCTGCTGAAGGCACTGGTTAAAGACTCTTGGCTTGCCTGTGAGGCTTCACTGGTTGAAGGCACTTGGATTGCCTGTGAGGCTTCACTGGTTGAAGGGCCTTGGTTGCTTTTCTTGCAAAAGTAAGAATCAAGTTTTCTAAGACTGTTTTCTAAGAGAAGTTCCGGATCAGCCGGGCTGTGGTGGGTATGTGGTCCTGCGGGCCGCTCCACGCAACAGCCTGGTGGACCAAACTCTCACAAGTCGAGCCTGGCCTCGGGCCAGGCTTGGGGGAGTAGAAGAACTCCCAGAACCCCATCAAGCAGGTATCAATTTAAGCTTGCCTACTGTGTTCATTGGCCTTTTTATGATCAGCTCTCCCCCTCCCCGCTCAGCTCGTTGTCGCCGTGTGGGGGCTTCGTGGGCGGCTGCTGGAGTGTGATGCTCCTTCGGACAGTCCTCTGTCCTTTTCTAGCCTTGTGCTCCTGCTGCCGTCCTCTCCAATTCTGCTGGGCACCTTTTCCTTTTCCTTCTGTTTCGTTTTTCTCCCCCCTCTTCTCCTATCTGCTGGCCGTTTCCTGCCGACCTTTTGCTCGTTCTGGTTCTTCCATGGACTTCTTCTATTTTGACGCCCGGGTGCTTGAGGAGGCATACTCATGCACCCGTAGAACTGCAGTACCCGACGTCGAGAGCGAGGGGAACCTTTTATTGTCAATCCCCACTTCGTCACTGAACCCGATCTCGACGGACTGTCGGTTTCTTAAGGTGGCGTTTGTGGGGCGTATACTCACGACGCACCCCTAGGAGGCCCCGACAAGATCGGCGATAGCTTCTTGTTGGGTGTCCTGCCTCTAATTGTGGCTCCATGGTGGGTGTGGGGGCACATTCGTGAGTGAATTCGTAATTTCGTCAAGATGATAACCCCTGTTTCGGCTGCTTCTGGCTTACCTTTTCAGGCTCGTGGGGTGGGCGACCAAGCCCCCGAGTCGGTCCGTATTGGAAGACCGGGCTCTGTAGCCTCCGCTGCATTGGGCCCCGACCTTGCTCCTCCTTTGGCCTCTCTGACTCCTTCCCCTGGCTCCCCTCCCTCCTCTGTGGTTGGGTCGAGCCCCAAGCCCCCAGTGGTGACTACCTCGTCCCCTGGCGCGGCTCCTTCTCTAGTTGTAACTACTGCGCCTTTTAACCCCTCTCTCTCTGGGGGTTCTCACCGCCGTTCTCGTCACGGCCGCCCTCGCTCGATTCCTTCCAGTTCTGCTACCTATCAAGCCTTGTTTGGTCCCGCTTCGTGGGCCAAATATTTTGATCTCCTCCCTCTTGATTCTGCGCCTCCTGACGATTTCTCCCTTCATCGACATCTCATTGATTCCGTGGATGCCTCCATTACTTTTAACCCCACTCGTCTCGGTACGCGTGTCGTTGCTGCTCCTTCTCAGGATGCTGCTTCCCGCTTGGCTGCCTTATCCTGCCTTGGCGAGACCCCCGTTCGGGTCTCGAAGAACGCTCAATTGAATGCCAGTGTTGGCACTATTTTGCTCCCGCCCCATGTTGCAACCGGTGTTCGGGACCTGCGCGACTGCCACGACGATATTCGCCATATCCTCGCTGCCCAGGGCCATTCTATTCTCCAGGTGGACACGTTTACTCGTCCCCCTCGTGGTAGTCGCCGTCAACCCCTCCGGGTTGTGAAGATTACCTTTGATGGTAGGACCCTTCCACCCTCTGTCATTCTTGCTGGTGCCAGGTGCTCTGTCCAGGAGTACATTCCTTCTCCTCGGCTCTGCAACAAGTGCTGGAGGTTTGGGCATGGTGCCCTCCGCTGCTCCGGGACTGTATCTCTCTGTCCTTTGTGTGGTGGCGAAGGTCACTCTAAGTCGGAGTGCACTTCTCCCCAGGCTCGTTGCCTCAACTGCGGTGAGGCCCATCCTACCTTCTCCCGTGCGTGTGTCCATTACAAGCTTGAGGCGGCCGTCCTCAACCTGAAGCACCGGGAGCGTTTATCTTTTCCTGAGGCGAGGCGCCAGGTTCGCCGGCTCCCGCCTTATGCTACTATCTCTTATGCTCGCGTGTTGCGCTCTTCCTCTCCACGTCCTTCCCGCCTTCCTCAGACTCACAAGCGTTTCCGGGCCTTGGACCCTGATGCGCCCACTGCCCCCTCCTCCGTTCCTTTGGGTTCTCTCCCAAAGGATCCTCCTCCTGGTCCTCTGTCTGGGGTTCCCCTTCCTTCTACCCGGTCTGTCGTGTCTTCTGTGTCTTCTTCCTCGTCCCCCTCCGATCCTCCTTCCCATCCTCTTCCTCCATCTCTTGGCTCTCCCCACCGCCTGTCGGTGCGGGCGGATGTCCATCGCTCTCCTAACGGTCGTCGTGTGTGCTCTCGTTCGGCTTCTCCTGTTGAGACACTGGAATCCGTTGCCCGGTACGTAGTTGCTGGGACACCGGTCTCTTTAAGTCAGAAGCGTAAGCCTGGCTCCTCTCCTTCCTCTTCCCCGGCGGGTAAGAAGGCTTCGCTTTCTTCCTCAGCTCCTCCTTCTGGCTCTGTTGCTCCTTCCCCTCCCGTTTCAGTGCTTGCGCCCCCTGTTCCTGCTATGGAGGTTTCTTTGGCCCCTGCTTCCCTTTCGGTTGCTGCTCTTGCTGGGGTGCGCTCCCCTCTTTCTACTCCCCCTCCTCCTGCTGCTGTCCTTGACGGCTCCTCTCCGTTGTCTCCTCCTCTTCCTCCTCCTCCTCCAGACCCTGCCCGCCCACCTCTGCTCTGTTCTCCCGTTTCCTTCCCTCCGTCTTTGCTCAGTTTACCCATGCCCCCTAACCCTGACTTTGCTGACCCTGATCCCGACCCTGATATTCTTTAACGTGCTCTGTTGCTCTTTCGCCTTTGTTTCTTCCTTGTTCTCTGTTTTTGTCCTTTCTCTTCTCGTCGTTGTCCATTCTTCAATGGAACGTTCGAGGTTATTACGCCAATTTCCTCGAACTCCAACTTCTGGTTTCGCGGTTTTCGCCCCTTTGTGTCTGTCTCCAGGAGCCGATGCTTGGTGCTCGTCCTGGTCGTTTTCGTGGCTATTCCTTTCTCTCCCCCCCCCCCCCAGCCATTGCTGTGGCTTCTAATTCTTCTGCTCTCTTGATTCGGGCTGATGTTCCCTTTGTTCCTTTACTTTTTCCTTCGCCTCTCCATTGTTCTGCTGCTCGTATCTTTGTGGGGAAATGGTACACAGTTTGTTCCATTTATCTCCCCCCGAGTGTCCCGCTCTCTCTTCCTGATTTGAAACACCTCCTAGACTCCTTGCCGGAGCCTGTGCTCCTGCTGGGTGACTTC